ATAATGAAATATTGGAAGGCCGAAGATCAAAAAAAAAAAAAAAAAAGACCTTAAATGCTTTGGGAGAAAAGAAATAGGTCATTTACAGGGACTCAGGAATTCAGATGCCATCGTACTTCTCATTAACAGTTCTGGAAGCTGGGAGACTGGAAGAGTACCTGTGTCATAGCAAGGAAAATAATTTTCAACTCAGTTAACACTCTTCTCTGAACTATCAGTTAAGTGTTAATATAGGCTAAAGATATTTTCAGACGAGTCTCAGAATGTCTTCAGACTGTGACCTCTCACATATCCTCTGGAATCATTACTATAGCTAACATTTACATAGTGCTCACCCTGTGCTTCACTTTATTTAGCACTTTAGAGCAACAATATGAGGTTGATGGTACAATTTCTCTGTTTTCCAAGTAGAGAAACTGAGCCATGGAGAAGTTAGTTCCCAAGGTTCCAGAGCTAGGAAGTGGTGGAATGAGGACTTGAACCTGGGTAATCCGAAGTCCACTGTGTTAGATCGCCTCTACCAGAGGACATGTTCCACCACGGTGATGGAGAGAAACGAAAAAGATCCAGGAAACAAGATCCAGCACAGGAGTGGATCAAAAGGAACTGCCAGGTTGGAGGTGAAGGGATGCTCTAGGGTAGTAGCAGCACAAAGAGATCCGGAGTTCATTTGTTCTGGAACACATGGAGGGCTCCAGGAGAAAAATGGAACAGATAAATTACCTGTTACGTTCGGTCATATGGAGCGTAGTCTGCTGGTGGAGAATGAACTGGTGGTATCTCCATAAACAGATAAATATGAAAGGGGATATCATAATATACCACGTGGCTCTGCTTTGGATAATATTTGTGTAGACTGTCTGCAGTAAATCCTGAATGTTGCCTTCACCAGGAATTGTGATTGGGGAGGGTGGGGAAGAGAACCGCCTTTACATGTGTGAGCCTGTGAAGGGCCAGTGGGTGTGGTGTAAGAGGATTAAATGTCCGCTTTCACAGTAGGAAGTCAGTACAGACTATTCTTTTGAGACAGAAGGAAAATCAAGCACTGTCTCAATATTTAGAAAGATGGCAGTAAATACCAGAAGAAACACGAGATTTAAAGTGGTTGCCTCTGGGGTGCTAGAATTAGGGATTGGAAAGGCTGAGGCAGAGGACTGACATTATTTAATATATGACATTATACACAAAACATGGCATAGTTTCCCTGTCTTAGCCCATAACCTGTGTGTTGGCAAACCTTGAAGGTTCTATATGCAGAGTATATCTGCGGTCTGGCCCCTTCTCAACACCGTCACTGCCGCCACCTGGGCTCAACCACCAGCCTCTTTCACCTGAGTTACTGCAGCGTCTCCTGTCTGGACTCTGAGCTTTTATCCTTGCTCTTTTTTTTTTTTTTTTAAAGATTTTATTTGTTTATTTTAAGATTTTATTTATTTGACAGAGACACAGAGAGGGAACACAAGCAGGGGGAGTGGGAGAGGGAGAAGCAGGCTTCCCGCCGAGCAGGGAGCCCGATGCGGAGCTCGATCCCAGGACCCTGGGATCATGACCTGAGCCGAAGGCAGACACTTAACGACTGAGCCACCCAGGCGCCCCTTAAGATTTTATTTTTAAGTAATCTCTACACCCAACGTGGGGCTTGAACTTAGAACCCTGAGATCAAGAGTCGCATGCTCTACTGACTGAGCCAGCCAGGCGCCCCCTGTCCTTGCCCCTCTTCGGTATCTGCACAGCACCCAGAGCAATGCAGTTAAAATATGAATCCGATTATGATGCGCTCTCGCTCAGAGCTCTGCTGGCCACCGCCTATGTCCACACACACCCCTTCCCTGCTGTATTTTTCGCCATAGCATTTATCATCTAACATTAGGTGTTTTACATACTCCTTTTGTTTCTTGACTGTGTTCTCTCATTAGAAGATAATCTCAATGAGTGTGGGGATTTTTGTCTGCTCTGTTCCCTGTATTCTCAGCCTAGAGCAGTGCTTGGCACACTGTAGCCCCTGAATAAAGATTTCTTAAATGTACTGCTTTCATGGCAATAAAAATTACATTTAAAAGCACCAGTTTTTAAGAAGCTGTTTGCAGTAAGTTAAGCCAAGCAGTTCATTGTCTTACTGGCTTAAGCATCCTCAAGCAATCTGAAACAGAAATCCCGGGAGATCTAATTGAAAAGATTTGTTTCCATTTGGAAAATAACCATATGCTGCCCTGACATTACGCCCCTTGAAAAACTTGTGCTGCGTACTAGGAGTCCTTACTGCAAAAATGAATTGTAGTGTTTCATGGTAACTATTTATGACTCAGACTGTTGAATTTCACAACCTTTTGGCAACTGAGATTTCAGACAGGATACTGGTATTTATTTTTAAATCCTAGAATCTGCTTAGTGAGGTTAAGTAAGCATCACAAATATCTCCTATGAGGATCCAACAGCCAAGATTCCATTTCTTACAGGGAAAACCACCTCCAGCAGTCTGAACACCAGTTGGCCTTGTATTCGCTCATAATCATTCTTGCTGTGTTGCAGCCAACTAAGGCTGCTTGCCTTTCGTCGGGGCGGGCTTTCTCAAGCCCCCTTCCTTCTCACCTCTTTGTTCAGAAAATGTCCGGTGCCAGGCCAGTGCCATCACATATATCCCCGTGGCTACAAATCACATGTCTGCATACACATGGTTAGAACTCCCAGCGGGAGAAGTGGGACTGTGAGAGGGAAGGGTCTTCATCCTCAGGCGGGCGCCGAGAACACGTGAATGAGGAGCAGGGCGGAGGAAACGGTCTCTCTTTGCACTGCCTGCAGAGGTCGTCTTGGAAATCAGCTGAAACCTAACCTTCCTCCACACTCCTACTTCTTAAGTAGCAGAATGGACACTTTTCAGATCTATGAAGGACTTTAAGATGTTTGAAAATCATGACCCTCGGATGTCGAATGTGTTAGATTATAGTTCAGTTTATATTGGAAGGGATGTGTATTTGTGTTTAGTTAACTGTGACACCAAAGAGGTTTTGCAGGGACTTTTTTGGTTGTTGTTTTGCTTTTGGTGATTTCCCTGAGTGTAAGTAAGCATTGTTTGCATACTTAGGTGATTACGCAGTAAGAGTTCTAAATGCCTGACGATGATTTAGGTCCCCGTTACATCAGTGTACCTTTTCAGGCTGCGTTCTGCCCTTCCTCAAACTTCCAGATACGCCCTTCTGTTACTGCCTTGTATAATGATAGCCACACACTGCTTTTCCTGCTAGGTCCTGAAGCTCTTTCTTGTTTAAAGAGCCGATGCTATTTCATTGTATCATTTTGAGGAAAGATAATGAATCCTGAGAGAATCCTAGTTAAGTAGCAGGCAGTGTGCTGTATACTATTTCATATTCCGTATCCAGTAGAGCTCTGACCATAGTCAGCCTTTGGCCTGTGATAGGATTTCATTTGTTACTATGATAGGGACTGGGTGGCTTCAGGTTTGCCAACCCAAGGTGAGAAACCTTAAACTAATTTGTGCCAAATAATGCCTTGCGGGTCATTAAAATTAAGTGCCACTGTGCTTGGTGGTGGTGGTTTATATATAGATTGCAATAAAACACTGGGCAGAGTGTCTCCTTGTCAACAAAGAAGTTTGTAGACTGGTAGACGAAAGAGTTAGTAGGATTCACTGCTGCTGGAGAGCTTTTTCCAGAGTTGTTCTGGAGAGATCTGTAGTGGCATGCTGCAGGTTTCCTCTCTTGTCCCTCTCTTGTTGGTGAATTTGGATAATAACTTAAGAGGTATGTTTGCCCAGTGGTGGATGAGAGAGGGATAACTAAAAGCCAAATGCCAACTAAGGATGTTGAAAGATCACAGAAGGGTCTGTGAAGGGTGAGCTGAAAGAGACCGGATGAGTTCTAATAGTGACAGTTCTTGTCATCAATTTAGAAAGTTGCTACAAAGTTACAGATTGGCCAAGAAGTGGCCAAGCTGCAGAAGAGATAAAAGCACTTGAAATTTGTAAGGTCCGAATTTGTGTGTGTCGTAGTTGCCTGAAAAGAATCAGAGCCTGGTGACAGATGCCAAAGGTACAGAAGAGAAGCAGTACAGGGATCCTTCGACTAAATTCTGAAGGATTAGCCAGGTCAGGTTTGGGATGTTGTATTGTGTTCTTACGGTTACATTAGAATGATTTTATCATGTAATATTTGGTAATAGAAAAGAATATATGTAATATGTAAGTTAGGAAAGAAACAAAAAACCTATCTAGAGACCTGTTCCCAGCTTAAGAACTAGAACATTCTGAAGATCCTTGACTGTTTCCTCCTCTACCCCAGAAGTAACTGTTAGTCTGAATTTGTCATTGCCTTGCTTTTTCAAAAGTAATTCTACCACATTATGTGTGTATTTATAAGCCATATATTCTCTTTAAAGTTGATTTTCCCTTTTATTAGAATGACATTATACTTAATGTGGCCTTTGCCACTTGCTTTTTACATTCAACATTGTTTCTAAGATGCATGTATATCAGTTGTTCTCAACCAGAATCGCTCATCAGCAGAATTCCCCCATGAACACAGAAGATGATTTGAGTGGCTCTTTTCTCAGTTCTCGCAAGGATGGTACATATGCAGCACTTGCTAGATACGCAGGAGAGCAGCTGTCTGGGTACCTAGCGTGGGTGCTCAAGCTGGGCACTTGGGGCTTCACTCTCTGTTGGAACCTGCTGGAGTTCTAGTTAATTAATGTTTACTGCTGTAAAATGTTCCACTGGTGAGCATATTAAAGCTTATTCATATATTCTGCTCTCGTGGACATTTGGGTTGTTGCCAGGACTTTTGTTGTTACTGTGGACAGTTTCGCTCTATGTTGTATGTACCTTGGGTGCATGTGAATAAACATTTCTCTCCATGTACATCTGAGTGGTGTTGCTGGGGACTGCTACATCCTCATGGGGACATTGGTAAACCCGGGAGTAAAGCGAAGGGCGATTCAGAATAGTTCAGCTATATCATGACCAGGCTTTATTCTTATTTTCTTAGGGATTGAAGAGGTTAATGACCATTTGCCAGAAGCATTTTCCTACAGATCCATCAAAATGTGTGGAGTACAATGCACTGTGAAATCTGTGTATGGCGTCTAAGTAACGAGAAACAAGTGGACGTGCTATATGGACTTCTGGAATTCCCAACAGGAACGAGGGAAGAATAATGCGGTTTCCTGTGTTTGAGTTCTACCTAACTCTACTCTCTCGGTTTTAAGAAACGGTGTTGGCTCTCCTATCACATCTGGCTGCAAACTGATTTTTGTGTCATTTACTTTAAATAGTCAAAAAATTAAGTTCTGAAGACTTTTCCTTGAATTTAAATGTGGAGACAACTGTCCCAGAAGGGGGTCTAAAATGACATCTTCTCTCTGGACCTACAAGCTGGCAGTTAGAGGAGTGAAAAGGAACATTTGAGGATGGACTTAATTTCTTTCTGTAAAATATGGTAATTTTCACATTGTCTTTTATGTAGCATTTATAAAAAATATTTTTATATATTTCAACAAAAATATGGAACCATTTAATGAAACTTTATAGTCCTTAAATGTTGCTGAACTTTTGCCATCTTGCAGTAGAATTGGAATGTAAATGTTAATTACTGTTAATGCAAGTGTTTTTCTTGCATTTCAAGGCTTGCTTTTACCTTCTAAGGAGTGTAAATTTTAGTATTTGTCATCTCTTTGGGACAGAAGAATTAACAGGAAATCACAGTTCAAAAAAGATGGTATATCATACCAACAGAAGTTTAAATTAAGGAAGCCGAGTGCCTCAAGGTTCAAGGTGGGGCAGTGGATTGTTAAGCCAGCCAAGGATGGGGACGTTGTGACACCACTGGTTCTTCCCAGACCAGGACTGCCTGTGAGTCTCCCTGTCGCAGGGCCTGCGGTGGACCGCCGCTCCCGGCCCTGTGCCACAGCGCATAGGAGCAAGGCGCCGGGACTCTGGTCACTGCCTGACACAGTAGGCCATGGGTCTGAGTTGGCCCAGATGAGGACTTCTGAATCTCACGCAGTGTCCTGTGCAGCTAATCGTATAATGGTGACGAATCGCTGCGCTCTGCAAGTTGAGAAGCCTCAGTTAATAGAGGAAGGTGGGTGAATGGAACCGACCTGCCCAGGTGGAGTGACAGTGTCGGGTAGCAGTAAGGGGGTGCTCCCGAGTCAGCACTGCCAAGCTGGAGGACCCAGCTCTCCCCCCACAAGTGTGAGACCCTGGGCGTCACTCAGCCTTCTCTGCCTCCTTTTTGCCCCGTCTGCAAACGGTCGCGAGGCCTGGGGCTGTACACCTCAGCGTGCCGCCGTGGTGGTCAAGTCAAATAAAATGCTTAGCGTGCTGCCTGGTAAATGAGAGCTCAGCGGATACTGGTTCTTGTGTCCTCGTTCCTAGAGTGTTACCGCAGTAGCGTTCCTGAGCCCTGTGCCGAGGGGCGGTGTGTGCTCAAGTCAGGGCAACGCCAACGATGGAGGGGGCCGTGGCAGCAACAGCCAGAGGGGCAGGAGTGGTTACCAAGCAGGGACTGTGTCTGCGCTCAGTGACTGCTCCTGATTTCAGTCAGTTTGGAGTTGAAAGGGCGAGAGGATGTGGTGGGAGCGAGAGTCCTCTGAGTCGTAGGTGGGGGTAGCTTCTCATGGTTTCACGGTCACCTGTTCTGGCTCCTTTGGGAAGGCTCGGGAGCCTCTTGTGGTCCCCTGTGTACGGCCATGCCTGTCGGATCATTTCTGTGGGGTTTCTGCACAAGATGGCTGGAGCCCTCCGTCCTGAATTGAATCAGGCTTACGCCCTACCCCACTCCCCACTTTGGAAACCATTTCTTATGATTAAATTAGTTAGGACTTAGGAGAGCTTACTCTAGGGCAAATGAGAGAGAGAGACTTTCGTGAAATAGGATGCTAGCCTAGAATGTAGTTTTGTGTCAGACTTGTTGATAAATACTGTTGAATGAATACTCCCCAAATTACTTTTCTTTATTCACAATCAGACCACAGCATAGCAGTCCGTTGTTTTCATGTTGTCTTTCCATTTGCTGTTAGTTAATACTCCACATAAAGAAGAAACTGTATCAAGTGACACCAATACCTTCTAAAATTGATCCGTATGGGTAGAAGGTTTGAAAAAAGGTAACCTTCTATGGTCCTGTGAATGTTAACCATTGGGGCATAGGTAGAGGGAAGCAGGTTCATAGAAAAGCTTTCCATTTCCCTGAAATTAAAGGTCTTCTGTTAAGTGCAAGTAATCACGTGGCTATATAGAACAGTGACCTCCCGCATTCTCCACATCATGAAAATCTTAGTTCAGCAGATACGACATACCTCTGGTTTTAGCTATTTTTAAAATAATAAAGGCATCCTTTAAAAATCATTAAGAGCCCTGAAATAACCATTCTTCCCTTTCTTCATTACTGCCGGCCCAGACTCCTGTCCAAAGGAGTTCTTCCTGGAGTCAAATTTAATTAAATGCTGGTATTGTCTCACAAGTAATCCTGTATTTTCTGGGAGTGTTCTTGCCAAGTGCGAAGACCAAGCAGTAGATTTTAGCATTACAGCACAGAGCCTGGGCAGCCTGGAAGCCAGGGCCGTGCTCTCAGTCTTTGGGGAAAATTAGGAAAATAAAGTTGAGGCCAAAGACAATTGCGGGAGAGAGGACGAGAGTGGTCCCAGTCTCCTGAGGAGAAGGGGGGGCGTCCCGAGAGACCCGAGCGGGGAAGGCAGCCGTCCGGAGCCACAGAACTGAGGGATCTGTTCCGAGCTCAGTGAGAATTGGGAAGAGTGGGAAATAGGGTTGACAGCAGAAGGGCTTCTTGGTTTTAAGTCCTTCCGTCTGGTGATTTCCTGACCTACTCTCACTTCCGGTTGCCCTGGGTTCTGAGCCCCGTAAATACTTGAGAAGTCGTTTCTTCTGCGAGCAGACAGTTTAGAAAAGACAACAGAAAAGTATACCAGAGTCTTTGGTAGATTTGAATTTGGGGATTCCTTATCACTGGCTCCTTTTCAGCCACACAGTCACCCCCTTTTAAGGATTAACACAGGAGATGGTAGAACTTAGTGGGGGCAGTTTCAGTGAAAGGGGAGCGTTAAGTTGCAGTGTCACGATGGCCTTTGTCAGAGTGTCTTGGAGATGTGCCTCCCCAGTACGCTCCCATGAAGCCCCTCGCTGACCAACCTGACCCCGTAGAAATGTATGGTATGGGACATTTTGGGAGTCCTGAGCTGCAAGCCCTTCCTCACAGCTTTTGATGTGAGAGTTTCCAGCTGTGTGAGGAGCCGGCACCAGCCCCCCGAGGGTCACCATGGGACTGCGTTACGGCAACTGGTTTTCATCACAGAGCCTGTAGCTCTGTTGGCTGAATTCTAACCACACGCTAGTACTTTAATAGTTAACAGTCTCCTGAACATCTTTTGAAACTTAAAAACAGGTTCTGGGGGTGCAGAGTAACTGGACGGGGGGAGGGCGGCGTGGCTGGTGGCGGCTGTGGCGTGAGCTGACCCCATTCAAGATTTGGGAGCTGTGCTCGTTTAAAAATAGGTTTTGTACATTTACCAAAAGAACTTACTATGAAACTTTGATTACTTACTCAGCTGTGCCCGTAGTAAACCCTGGGGGGTCCTTGGTACAGCTTTGCTGCAGCTGACTGTCCTCGTGGTGCCCCGCGGGGCTGCTCTGCTGAAGTGGGCGGCTTGGTTTTGTGGGGTCCCGCCTCCCCGCCTTTAAGCACCGGCTTTGAAAATACTGTCATCTTTCCCTCACAGCATTCAGGCTGGACACATGCTTTCACCGGGGAGAGCAGCTAAGAAGTTTCAAGCTTCCCTTTGAGTATGATCGGTGACCTCAGAAGTGTTCACTGAGCTTCCTCCCACGACGGGCAAGAGTCATTTGGGCAGTCTGCTCTCTGTGCCCTTCTGAACTCCCAGTTTGTCATTGCCAAATTGCCTTTCCTGTCCAACTGCTCTGCCTTTGAGACTTAGGAACAATCGGGAACCTTTAGTGTTGTAGTCGGAGCTTGACTTGGAGGTTCTGCCCTCCTGGGAAGCAGGAGAGTTAAAGCTGTGGCTTTGGAAACTTTCTGACCACAACTCAAAGTATAACAGTAACAAATGCATGCATACATAAATGCACATATAACTGAAACAAAAGCACTCACATACTCTTCTATTTCTTCGAAGAATATGCTGGCTGTGACTCCAAACAGGCTTACGACGCATTAACGCACTGGGACCAGTAGTTTGAAAACCACCCTTTAAGACCACCAATTATCAGTGGAGTTAAGGATGGAAATGACCTGGTAGATGAATTCAGGGCAGAAGGACTCTATTTTTTTTTAATTTTTTTAAGCCACCTAGGCGCCCCTAAATTGTTGATTTTGTAAAGGCAAACAGGTATTGGCTTTCAGGGTCACTACAAAGGTCTATTACAGAGAAGGTTGTGCTTTCTGGAGATAGGGCTGAAAGTGGGGTATGAGGATTTGGCACAGCTGGGTGCTGGGAAATAACTATATTGTTGATAACTCTAAGTCCTGAACAAACCTCCATCCTCCTCCATGTTTTTTTTTTTTTTTAATTTTTTTAAATAACTATTATTTGTTTCAGGGGTACAGGTCTGTGACTCAACAGTCTTACACAATTCACAGCGCTCACCATAGCACATACCCTCCCCAGTGTCCATCACCCAGCCACCCCCTCCCTCCCACCCCCTCCACCCAGCAACCCTCAGTTTGTTTCCTGAGATGAAGAGTCTCTTACGGTTTGTCTCCCTCTCTGGTTTCGTCTTGTTTCATTTTTCCCTCCCTTCCCCTGTGATCCTCTCAGAGGATAAATGTCTTTCTCTGACTGATTTCGCTTAGCACAATACCTTCTAGTTCCATCCATGTCGTTGTAAATGGCAAGATTTCATTTCTTGATGGCTGCATAATATCCCTGTGTGTGTGTGTGAGTGTGTGTGTGTGTGTGTGTGAGATATATATATATGTATCACACATACACACACATCAATCACGTCTTTATCCATCTGTCCATGGACATCTAGGCTCTTTCCATAGTTTAGCTATTGTGGACATTGCTGCTCTAAACATTGGGGTGCAGGTGCCCAGAAGGACTCTACTTTTAAAAAGTTTTTTAAATACAGAGCTACAGAGATCACACTCAGCGTTCAAGGTTAGTGTGAGGTTTAGCAGATTACAAAACCTTTCCAGGGCTAAGTACTTGCGAAGCAGCCGTTCTTATATTGCAGATGACGAGACTGTCCCCCAAGGGGAGGGTAACCACAACACACAACATACGGTTGGCACCGTGGTTAGGTGACCACGTTATGCTGGCTGTCAGTTGTATAAAGGGAGATGGACCAAGAGATAAAATAGAGGGGAGCTCAGAGGTAGGGTTGAGGCAGAGAAGGATATATAGAGGCCAGTATCGTGCATCAAATCTCTACTGAGGGTTGGCTCATGCCTTTAAAGATTACTTCCCAAGGCTCAGGCAGGGCTGGATTACATTCCTTTTAATGTAAATTTTTAAGCAATTGTATAATATAGAAAAATGTACAAATACGAAGAGTACCATATCCTGATACATTTTTCAAAGTGAGTATCTCCCAAGGTCTCCAGCACCCGAGTCAGGGAAGAACGTTGTTAATGCCCCAGAAGTCTCCTCATGCCTCCTTCTGGTCACAACCATGGTCCTAATGTCTGACATCATTACTGCTCCATAATGTACATACCCTACAATTCACCCATTTAAAGTATATATAGTAGATTTAGAATATTCAGAGTTGTACCACCATTGCCACTATCTTAAGTTCAAAACATTTCGTCACCCCTAAAAGAAACCCTGTACCCATTAGCAGTCACTAATAGCTTAGTTTTGCCTGACTTTTCATCTGCTCGTTTGTAAATGGACTCAGTGGTCTTGACTTGTTTTATGTTTGATTTCTTCTGGTTTCTGCTCCTCCTCATCACGTGTTGTGATTCGTTCATTCTCATTGCCACATCCCATAATTTGTCTTACCGTTGATAGACTTTTGAGTTGGTTCCAGTTTTTGTATGGATGTTGTGTGTGCGTTTTTTGGTGAATACGAATCTCTGTAGGGTACACACCATGTTGTGAAATGTCTGGGACATAGGGTATGTGCATACTCAGCTATATTAGATACTGTCAAGGAATTTTACAAACGACCTGTACAGTGGACACTTCCCCAGGCAGGATTTGAAGTTCCAGCTACTCTACATCCGGCCACACATGGCATACTCTCTGTCATTTTCATTTTAGCCCTCCTGGTGGGTAAAATGGTATGCTGTGGCCTTAATTTGCATTTCCCTGCTGACACATAAAGGTGGGCACCTTTATGTGCTTGCTGGCCATTTGGATATTCTCTTTTGTGAAGTTCCCATTCAGGATTTTATTTTTGCCCATGTCTTCTGTTTAATTGCCTGCCTTTTTCTTACTGATCGTAGTTTGTTCTTCTGGCTAGGAGTCCTTTGTTGGACACGTTTATTGCAAATACTTCTCCCACTCTGTGGCTTGCCCCTCTGCGAGGTTCCTTTTTATGCAAAGGGGAAGTAACCTTTTAACGAGCTCAGATATTGACATAATCTTTGCTACCTGTGCCAGGTTGTACAAAAATCAAATTGTGTGTTAGTCTTACAGTAACTTTTTCTCTCGATTAATGATGTCATCGTCTTGGTGTGCCTTTAAGGGTATAGGATTTGAGAGAGAGGAAATCATGTGACTTATTTTTTTTAAGAGTTTATTTATTAGAGAGAGAGAGACAGCATGAGAGGGGAGAGGGTCAGAGGGAGAAGCAGGCTCCCCGCTGAGCCGGGAGCCTGATGTGGGACTCGATCCCGGGACTCCGAGATCATGACCTGAGCCGAAGGCAGTTGCTTAACCAACTGAGCCACCCAGGCGCCCATCATGTGACTTTTAAAAAATTTTTGCTATACTTTGGTTTTATTAGATTATTATTTTAAGACCTGGTGATTTTTCTCTTCCTTTGGTGTGCAAGTATGTACGCCATACATGTGTGGTGTAGACAGCGCTTGCTGGTGGCTTACCCTGTTTTCCTTCCCCTCCTCTGTGCTAACAGAAGCTTAATATGTTCAGAGCGGCAGTGTGCACAGTTAAAACTGCTTGCTCTCCCAGGACCCTTGAAGTTAGGATTGGTTATGTGACATGTTCTGCCAGTAATCTGTGGAGAGAGTCTATTGGGTGGGACTTCCCGAAAGCTACTGCTTTTCCAAGAGAAAGAAATAGACTTAGCTGACAGACATCTTTTGCCCCTTCTCTGTTCTTTTCTGGAAGGTGGTTCTCAGACGCTTTGCTGCTGTCCTGTAGTCACTGATGCTGAGAGAGACATGCTAAAGGTGGCAGAGCTGGGTCTTGGGTCGTACCATGGAGTCACTGTATAAACCCTGAGCTGCCTTCTTAGGGTTCTGCGGAGAGAGACCAATAGGAGATGTATGTATGTATGTATCTATATCTCTCTCTCAAAAAAAATGGAAATTTATAAATATATATATTAAAATACAGAAACTGTATGTAATTACATAAATGCATATGTATTATAAGGAATTGGCTCCTGTGATTATGGAGGCTGAGAAGCCCCATGTAAGTCTTACTCTGAGGGAAGGAGAAGACTAATACCCTGGTTCAACAATCAGGCAAAGAGAGAGAGCGCGCGAGCATGCGCATCTCCCGTACCCTCAACTGATTGGACAGGGCCCACCCACGCTGGGAGGGGCCATCTGCTTTCCTCAGTCCACTGATTCAGATGTTCATCTCCTCCAGAATAATGTTTAACTGGACATCTGGCACCCCGTGTCCCAGTCATGTTGACCCACAAAATTAACCATCACAGCTGCCTTCCTCTGGGCCTCCTGTTTTATGAGAACAGTATGGGGTCATTTCCCAGGACTGTGTTCCCCTAATATGGATTCAGTCCCTTAGCAATACGTACGTAACTCAGATATTTCTTGGCCTTCAACATCACTGAGACTTGTGGCAGGTATGGGATGGTGCTCTACGGGTGCCTCTGTCTCTGCTGGACTGAGATCGGACTTCGCCACCTTCTGCAAAGGTGAAAGTACCTGTAACCGCGTTCGTCTGAGCAGGCGTGGGTGCTGGCACCGGCTCACCAGCTGCAGAAAAGCCCTTAATTAGGCTGATGTTAAAGGCAGCTCAAAGACAACCAGGTGTTCGAGACCCAGAGGAGTGCTTCCGGCGGGTCGTGGCGATTCTGTCACCCAGCTTATTAGACGGAAGCATCTCGCTCTTGTCCCTCTCAGGGGTTTTCCCCAGATCTTCATTAGAGTGAGAAATGACCTTGAGAGGACAAACTCCTAAATACTTGTTACGAATGTGAGACATACTTGAGAAAATCAACGATTGGGACTTTGTTATTTTGGGGGAAAATAGGGTTTGGCTTGCTCTTCCTTCTGAGACCGTGACTCACTTTACACTCCCATGGGCCAAAAAGATACTTGTGTATCTAACATTTTTTTAATCTAAAAATGGAAGATTGGCTTGCTCCTAATGTGGCGGTAGCTTTCACGAGTCTCTCCGCCTCTCACCGGTTTCCCCGCTCCCACCACCGCTTCCGTGGCGGCTGTGACGCGTTTCTCCTTGGTGGCCGGCTTGTTGGGTTCCCCCGACAGCGGGCACACGGGAGACGGGAAGCTGGAGGAGGGAGAGGGACCTGCTCCTCTCTGTTGGCTTTCTGTCCCTCACAGCCCAGCAGGACCCTCAGTTCCTGAAGAAGGAGCTGCTTCCGGGGGCAGTTTTCCACACTCGGAGAAGCAGCTTCAGTCTGCCCCTCGGCGATGTGCGGGTCCTGCCACCTTCCTGGGGCACACGGCAGCCGGCCACCACGCGGAGCAGCACCCCTCAGTCTGCTCCTCAGAGGGCTGACTTCGGCTCCGCGGGGCACCTCTTCATGCTTCTGGGTTTTCCCATCCCCTCGCCTTTGTTTCCCTGCCCTGAGCGCTGGCCGCTTCCCTGGGGTCCTCTTCGAGATCTAGTGTCCCGTTTTGCTGTCCCCTCTTCACCATCCGGGTGACAGTCCAGCCCTTCATAGGAGATCATCTCTGTTGGGATCATGGCCGTGGTCTTGGACTCCCAATCCAAAAGGCAGCACCTGCACAAAGGGCAGGGGTCCCCCACCTGGCACCCCCAAGCTCGGATGGGTTTCCCACTAGCGTGCATCAACATACCTCGACACTTTCCTCCTGGATGGCAGCAGTCACCCCCAGGGGCTGACCGAGGTCATGGGGGAACCTGTATTTTCTCCGCTGTCTGGCCCCGAGGGCCCGTCCTTGCTGCCTCCCTCCCTGCTCCCCGCTCTGTTCTTGGGGTATCCTGCCCATTCCTGCGGGGGCCTCGACTTCCTCAGGACCTTCTTGGCTTGGCTTTCCCGAGGCTCCCCTTGTCATCATCGCTGTCACTCTCCCAGGACCTTCTCCTGTTGTCTTACCCCCCTTTTTTTTTTTTTAAGATTTTATTTATTTATTTGACAGAGAGAGAGACAGCGAGAGCAGGAACACAAGCAGGGGGAGTGGGAGAGGGAGAAGCAGGCCTCCCGCTGAGCAGGGAGCCCGATGCGGGGCTCGATCCCAGGACCCCGGGATCACGACCCGAGCCGAAGGCAGACGCCTAACGACTGAGCCACCCAGGCGCCCCTGGTCTCCTGTGCCGCCCCGTGGCACTACAAAAACCAAGCTGCGTCATCCCGTCAGTGTCCTCCAGAGCCGCCAGAGGGGGCTAAGTGTCCGGTGTCCCCTGGATCCCGATACCAGGACATTCTCCATCTTCTCTCCTCTTGGGGGCCGTTCTCCGCTGACTGCTGTCTGCTGACCCGGCCCCGCTGTCTCTTGCCCCTCCCGCTTAGCTGTGGCCTCGCCGGGCTTTGCGTGGGCCAGGCTGACTGGGGCGGGGCGGGGTGTCAGCGCCCCATCTGCCTCCACACTCACCAGCAACGTTTCTTACCTTACTGGGAGGAAAAGCTGTTCTTCCACCTGTCCTAAGGCTGACCCTGCGTTCTGAGCACCTCGTACTGTGTTCCGTAACTGACTTTCTCCCCCTCCCTGCACTCCTGATCTCCCAGAAGTCTCTTCAGGACACCGATGCTGCATCTCTCTGGTTTGCGGCGGGAGGTGAGAAAGAATGATTGGGTGGTCATCCAGTGGGGTTGGCAAGATGGTGGGACGATCCCAGGACTTCTGGCCTGACCCTGGACGGCTGTAGAGCCTGCAGCTGAGCTGAGGAAGGTGGTGAGGGAGCAGATTCCGAGGGGAGGCTCGGAACCTCCACTCTGGCCATGTTAGACCTGCGGGGGACAGGTTGCCGGGTGGGAAGAGGTACAAGTTCAGGAATGCAGGGGTCAAGACAGGTGTCTTCAGCCCCTAGATGGCACTGAAAACCCTGAGGCCAAGGGAGAGCTACCGGAAGCGTGGTGGACGATAGGGGGGAGGAGCCCGAGCACAGAGCTGGGACACGCCGATGCCCGGGCGCCGGGGAGAGGAGAACCGCCAAGGAGGCTGGAAAGAAGGGCCCCAACCGTCGTGAGCAGCAAACCCCGGAGGGCGTCGCATCCTGGCCTTCCGGTGCAGGACCCGAGGGGATCCATGGGGTTGTGTTGCTGGTAAGTCACATGAGCTGAGAACAGAGAATTAACCATTGTCTGTGGCGCTGTGGGAGTCCTTCACCTTGACAGCAGTGGTTTTGGAAGAGTAGGGGAACAAAAGCAGGCCTGGAGTGGGTTTGACAGAAAACGGATGAATGAATGAAAAACAAAAGGAACCTACTCGTGTGTAGGGACAGCAGTTGATGGGGAGAAAAATGGGTTTCTGATAAAAGAAATCTTGTACAATTGTAAATGTGTGGGCTCTGTCAGTCTGCTCGCTGTTTAGACCCCTGCACTGCAGGCCCCTCAGCTCCTGTCTGAGGGGACAGTGGCTGTGCCCCGGGGGGGACTTTGTGCCCAGCAAAGAGGGTGTAATGCAGGAGGTTCTTGCCTCTTGGCGGCCGTGACTCCCAGCATCTGGCTCCGTGGACAAGCTTAGCAGTGAGATCCCGCTTAAGACACTTGGGGATTTCGTCCCCTTTGGACTCCTTTGGAATCTTTTCCTTCTGTTTAATGTTGGCGACTTTGTTTGCCCTTACGCTGTGGTTGTGGGTCCGTGTCTAATCTGTGTGCGTGTAAGGCTTCTGGAGCCTGGGCTCCTCCCCAGACGTGCAGTGCATGACTGCTCGCCAGCCCTGGCCAGTGGCTATCTGGCGCTCGCCTTACAGAGGGTCTTACGGAGGGGCTGTTTGGAACTGGTACTCTGGGAGAAAGCAGCAAAAGGCCTGGGCTCTGTTTACTACTTTCTGCTGGACTTCTGGGTGTTTGTGTTCTCTGGTAACAGAAATAACGGCTGTGTAGAACTGCTTTGTCAGCGCTGTGTGTGTGCGCGCGTGTACGCGCGCTGCCAAAGGTGGAGAGAAGTGGGAAAGCAGTGTCTTCCTGTGTTGCCTTCATGAGATCGTCAGAGCTTAATGAGCAGATCCTGGATTTATCTCCTGAGCTGTGACATGTTTACACTGAAAAGACAAAAGATCTCTGTTGGACATGAGCGCTGATTATCTTGAGATACAGAGCCACTGGTTGCTTTCGAGGGCTTAGAAGTGTAAAATGTCCTAACGAGCTCACTTCCGACATGCTTCGTGTTCTCTGTGGATTGTTTTCATTTTGGGCAGGGGTTAGCTCGCTCTAGTGGCAGATGCTTCAGCAAGGGCTTTCCATCCGGGGGATGTTCTTGGCTTCCAGGCTTCTGGGCTCCCGCTAGCGAAGAGATGCCTGTTGGGCCGGGGGGCCGGGGACGCAGCTCCAGCGCAGTCTCTGCAAAAGTAGGCCAGTCGCCGTCTTGTCGTTAAGTGGGGGCTTTGGTGCCCGCGGGCCTCGCCGGCTGCTGTGTGGGTGATGTGATTCAGGTGGTGGGGGACAGGGTTTGAGTGGTAGGGTGAGCACAGGGCTGCTGAGGAGCCTGAGCATCCTGCCGTCTCCCTGATGGGCCTTTGGCCTCCTGCACAGACCCCGGGGGACCTCATGGGGGCGGAGAGCCCAAGGATGGCCTCCGAAGCCCCCATTCCCTCAGTGTCTCTTCCACCACGTTCCGCTGTGTGGGAACGGGACCCACGCCTGGCATGGACTGCATACAGGTAACTATTTGTAACCACCAGTGTCCCGACAAAGACTGACCTCTAACCTCAGATCCCCTTTTGTGGCAGGAATACATAATAGAGAATGTGTTCTCTTTGTATAATTAACAAGGCAATTAGAGTAAGGGAGAATTAGCCTTGACTACACAAACTGAGCTTATCTGTATCTGGCAAGCCAGTAGGATCAGCTTTCGATGGACTTTAAAAAAGGAGTCCAGGGGCGCCTGGGTGGCTCAGTTGGTTAAGCGACTGCCTTCGGCTCAGGTCATGATCCTGGAGTCCCGGGATCGAGTCCCACATCGGGCTCCCTGCTCAGCGGGGAGTCTACTTTCCCCTCTGACCCTCCCTCCCCTCATGCTTTCTCTCTCTCTCATTCTCTCTCAAATAAATAAATAAAATCTTTAAAAAAAAAAAATAAAAAAATAAAAAAGGAGTCCAGCAAGGCCGCCGGCGCCCGAATTAGAGATTTCCAGAGCCGATGAAACAAAATCTCCAAGAGGCAGCTGAGATCTTTTCATTTTGAAAATGCTTTAATAAGTGTTGACAACACTGTTTTGCAAAATGTAAAGGTACTATACAAATTCTTAATACAAAAAGAATAAATTAAAAGCAGATTTCTTTTTAATTCTGCAACTTTGTCTACAACATACATCCTTTTCATTGATTACAGTTGAACAGAATCCAGTAAAATCATTTTCCATGCTCTACAGTCAGTTTCAGGAGCAACCTAATCCTTTCTCCCCATTATTAAACTAGAGTCCATTTTACACAACGTGTGATAACTATTGACATGAATGTATATGTAAAACTTTACACCTAGTTAACTAAGCAGTAACTGGTCATCTGATAGCACCTGGAGGGGGTCTGCTCTATTTAGAACTAACACTGAATGAAAACGAATTGGGATTTTAACAGTTTCAACACTCACCTGCGTATAATAAAAAAAATCCACCTGTCTCACAACAAAGTCTGATGTAAGGGTCCCCACCAGTCTTCAGGCTAAACAGGCAACTTCTTACATGTATCCAAAGAATCCAGTAGGGGCTTTATATCAGACCAGGGGCTTCATATTCCGTCTTATTTTGCTTGAAAGAAAGACGGATCTGTGAAGAGCTTGCAAGCGCTTGTTTACAGTAACTGCTGTTCCCCACCACACTGATCCTTAATCCCGTGGCTCTCAAAGGACTAACATTATGTACATTTGTAGTAACCGAACTCAGCAGCTCAACAGTAAAACCTGTTTTACTTCATCTCTTTCCTACCAGACTATCGTGGCCTTTGTCTGAACTGCAATTCCCCCCCCTCTCCGTTCTTTTCTGCCTCCTGAATTCAAAACCCAAGTGTTGAGAAAGATTTTTCGTCTCACATTCCCTGTCACCCAGCTGGGCTAAAAGCGTGATCCGGGGTGGCGGTGGGGGGGGGGGGCGGGGACTGCAGCCTCGACTTGAAACTACGGGACATGCCGTGTAACCTGCAGCCACGTGACCTCGTCCCCTCCTCTTGTTTCTCTGCACTTTTCCTGTCGCACACGGTTCAGTCTGATTAGCCAGTGTGTCTTTGGGGTGAAAGAAAAATGGCCCAGGGTATAACGTTCTGAATGGGGAAGGAAAAAAAACCTGTTGGCCGTAGCTCTGATCGTCAAAATACCAGCAACAAAAATACCACCCCTCCGTCCCCAGGATCGGGTAATAACATTAGAACCAGTTTTGTCTATCCCGCAGGGTTTACCCAAGTGTTCTGTGAATGTTCGCCCCTTCCCCCAAGCTGTGTCACCAATCCAGTGCCCACAGGCCTGGGGAAAGCAGGCCCTGAATTGTCCGGAGTGGCCCCAGCATGCCGGGAGCCCACAGCGCTTCCCAAGCTGCAACAGAGGGAGCGTTGTGAAACTTACTTTAGGGTCCGTCTTCCCTCCTGGTCTGGTAGAGTCTTGTTCTTGGATTACACGTACGTAAAAAAAACCGAAGATTTTTCTTTTTACGCTAAAGCTAACTGTGGTTCTGCTTTCCCCCAAAACTACCCCACCCCAGCTCCTGTCCCTGGCTGTCAAATGCCTTTCCAATAGGAAGTCGTTACAAGTGAGAAAAACTGTCCCTCCCCCCCGCCCACCCCCCACTTGCGCCAATAAGCACAGCGTCCCACCTCCGTGGAGACCGTGTTTGTGCCATTTTGAATAACCCAACTAAGAGTGTGCGCTTGTTAGGATTATAAAAGTATTTTTGAGGCCTTTGAAGATAGATGGCTTTCCAGTTGTGTCTTAAGCATAGCTCAAGGCACATGTAAACGTGCGGCTCTTTCCTCCCCTCTGGGTTGCTGCGGACGACTGTGGTACGTCAAGGTAGCTGCCGACGCCGGCGGCATCCGGGCCCTCTGGGAGCTGGCGTGCCCTTCAGCCCCGCTCCGCCTGCTAGCTAGTAGACGCGGGGGTCAACTCTTCCTACCTAAGGGCATAGTTGGGTTCTTGGAATAAGTGACACATTGGTAACCGGGTGCCGAGAGAAGTCGGGTCTGAGCTCTTTGTCACACAAGTGCTAACAAGTATAAAATGAGCCACAACAGTTAAACACTCGAATGGATCGTGATGTGCTTTTTCCCTTGGTTTCCCATGAAAAATAAAATCAAACACCTTGTGCAAAACAAGAGGACACGCTTTTACTGCTTGTTTTAATGAGAGAGAAGCGCTTTTGGCAATCCCCACCTTCCGTTTCCTCCAGATCCCAGCAGGAAGGCGGTGAGCTTGGACCCGACCCCCGTGCAGACCGGGCTGACGGCGCCCCCCTGCTCCCTGCCCGCAGGCCTGTCCTCCGTGTGCACACCCCCGGGGGCCCGAGGCCGCGGCGCCGCTCTGGCTCCCTCCACTTGACCATCATACCGGGTTAGTTTTCCAGGCTCTGGCCTGAGAGAGAAGGTGGGCCGTTAAGGGTGAGGGATAAAGAGGGGAAACAATTTACAAATGGTTGACTTTTCACTGTGATGAGTTAGTAGCAGTTAAGAATTTAAAAGATTTCATTGCAGAAAGAATGTCTTCCTCTTGGCCCCTCTTTTTTTATTTTAATTTTTTTTTTTTTTTAAATCTTTGGCAGCATAGAACTGATTGTGATCCTCGGATGCATCTTGGACACGTGAAGCTTCCTTTTTCAATCTCCTTCCCCTCCCCCGCTAGCCACTCCCCCAGGGAACATGTCAAGTGTCAACTGAGTGTTCTCCGCGCACGCCCGCGGCACCCTCCTCACCGAGCACGCGGTGGGCCCGCGAGGGGGGGCGCAGGCTGGCCACAGCGAACAGTCCTTCGGGATCACCCTGTACGTAAGTCCCCTTTCCTGTTCTCCTGCCACTTGTCCACGGGAACTGGATGTCCGCCACCTTCCCTGATGGGTCCTGGCCTGGGGGCTGTCACGGCAGGGGGAAGCCACCAAGGTGCCGCTGAGGATTGGTGCCTGGCTCTCCGTGGGCGAGAGCGCCAGGGGGACACACAGTGGGACCGGAACCTTCCAGAATGTCTCCTCAGTCAGGTTTTTGAGGGTGAAGGGGATGCGGAGACGGGAGGAAAAAAAGTGCTGAGGGCCGAAGCTGGTGCGGGGTGACAGTGCGTCTGGGTAAGGCAAATGAGAGGCAGTGAGGTGATCTCTGAATGGCGTTGAGGCGGTCAGATCGAGGCCGGCTGGCTCACACGAGGGTGCCGGGCTTGGCTTGCTCCTGCCCGTACCACTGGACGTCGGCTAGTTCGGGATAGAGGGAGGAGTCCAGGAAACAGCTGTCGGTGTAGCTCCTGCAGGGAGGGCGAGGAGAGCAGCAGGTTAGCGGCGCAGAGCGCCCAGTAGGGCAAGCTGCTCCCAGACGTGGCAAAATCCACCTGTAGGGGCCCTGCCGCGGGAGCCCCCTCGGGGGGCGAGCAGGACGGAGGCGGGGCTGCCCACGCCTGGCGGAGACCTCTCCGAAGTCCTGCTGTCTGGGCCCTACCCTTGGCGCGCCGCGCGAGCTTCCAGAGCTCCGGGCTTCCACGGGATTCCGCTTTTCGGAGAAGAGCTGCTTGGGCTGCCCTCCAGGAGACCCCAGGCACCGCCAGCTTTGCCTACATACTGTTCTGTCCCAGAAGCACGTTCAAAACATCAAGCGAAACGGGGAGGATATTTGGACGGGAGTCTAAACAATTTTTTGAATGCGTGCTATTTATTTTAAATAACATGCATTGTTTTCTGATTCTAGAAACTGCATGGAAGACATACCACAAACTAGAATGAAAACAAAAGACTTAAAAAGTCTTTGAGGTGCGTGCCACCATGGAGGCCAGGGAGAAGCCAAGAGGTAACTACACAGACACGCCGAAGCCCATAGTTGGTACTCAGAAAAATAGCCCCTTGCTGATCCCAAACTGGCTCTTTCGGGGCAAGAGTAAAGGTCAGGAGCAGCCCCTGCAGCCTGAGGAGATGGGGCCCCCCGCCCCCGCCCCGTGGCTGGCTGCCTGAGCTCTGCGCTCTGTTCCTAAACTGCGGGTCCAGCTTGGAGCCCCTTGGGTGCTGCTGCCTTTGCTCCCAGCGCAGCTCCTAGCTCCCTCTGAGTGTCGATTTGTACTGATTCCTACAGGGATGAAACTGGGGGCCTTGAGCCTCCAGGTGTTGAAGCGACACGTCCCTTGGGTGACGCTGGTCTGTGATTCCGGGTTATTAGGTCTGTGTCCTTAATGCCTGGCGCTAGGGTTTGCGACGGGACGGGTGAGGGAACGTGATCCTAATCCAGCGTGGTGCGGAGAGCAGCGAGCTGAACGAGCACCTTCCTCCCAGCCCCGTGAGTGAGAGGCTGCAGTCATGCCCATCTTTCTGATTGGCTGACCTCTCTAGGAACGAATGGATGAAGGCATTGTGGATTTTGTAAATGTTTCTCATCTGGCTTTACAGAAACCCACGGAAGCTGGAAAACCCAAGGCATCAGTGCCATCGGTGGCCTTTGCCGAGAGTCCTGGCCCTGGAACTCCTGATCTAGTGGGAGTGAATGCTGCGTGCAGAAGCAAAATGACATACAGGCCCTTCCTTCTGATGCCGGCCGCGGGTCCCCGCTACGGTCCGTAAGCGCTGAAGGGCTAACTCCCACGCACCCACCCTGACAGAAGTGCCTTTTGCCATGTGCCTGAGGGACTGAGAACGTTTTTCCGGCAGAAGGTAGTTGGATCCACAGGGACGTAGGCTGTATTTTGGGAGACAGTCCCTCTCTGACTCCTTGTGGTCTGGTGGTGCCCTTCCCTCTCCCCCAGGTGAACAGGTGACCCAGGTGGGCCAGTCAGAATCCTCCAGCCACAGCCCCTGACTGCTTCAAAGAAGGGCAGAGGCCCCCGCACGGCCAAGCGGCCTTCACCTCAGGAGTATGTGGGAACAGGAAGCAGAGGCCGAGATGAAAGAGAACTAGCCACGTCTGGCTCTACATGCCCTAAACCACGAGCCAGGCACAATAGTGCGAAACCCATTCATGTATAAGAGAACAGGTGGATCCAAATTGCTTCTGGAAGTTGGAATAAATTCAGGTTACCTGCTCAGACGGCTAACGCATCTGTGGAGAAGACACTTAGGATTTTCATTCACCTGAGTTCCAAATAGCCTTCCCCCTCTTTTTTCCTTCTGGTAGGAATGACCTCCCTGAAGTTTGCACTTCAAAGAAATGGGCTACAGGATAGGTCCTGGCGGAGACCAGAGAGAGCATTTACGTCTCAAAAGACACAGGGAATGAAGGCCAGCTCCTCCCAGAAGGATTTTGTTTCTTAAATCTAAATATTTTGAAGTATCTGCAAGGCCTTTTGAGGTGAATAGGGGAGGTTTTGGAATTGGTAAAAATAAAAAACGACGGGTGGGCTTTGAATTGCTTCCAGAGCTGCGTGACTGTGGCCGTAAAGACTGAACTTGTAAGACAGGGACACTTGTTTTTGTTCCTCAAGCACTGGGGTTGCAACTTGATTGAGTAAAGGCCAGTAAGATCTTTAAAATTTACTCAGTTGAATTGTTTTCTAACAGTTTGGTGACAGCAGTGGGATCCCAAGGAGACCTCAGATGGCTTCAGGGACAAGAAACACAGGCAGCTGTACCTGTGAACCCCCTGAGGTCTCTTTGTCACCATTTCCGAGGGCCATGGCTAAGTTCCTCTCGCTTCTGAGCTCCGCTCTCTCTGCGTTAAGCTCCGCATCGAGTTGGCTTCCTGGTCCAGCATTAACAGTGTCTGGACTGACAGGAGGCTCTCAGAGAGTCCCTGGCCCTCGCTTAGTCTGCAGTCCCAGGCCAGGGCTTGGCACCTGGAACCTCAGTCCTGAGCCTGTGGTTAGTCCCCAGTGCCCATGTGTTGGGGGTTGCTGGTTCAGTCCATAGTTCCGTGCTGGGAACTGCCGGTGGTGTGCACCTACGGTCTCCTCTTGGCCAGTCCACAGTATCATCTCTTTGGCTACTACAGGTCTGTTAATGTGCCTGTGAGGTAAAGCAGTAAGAGACCTGTTGTGAGAACCTCAGAAGCCAAAGCTGCAAAATTGGTGGGCACAGGTCAAGCACTTAAAAGCTGTTAGGGCGCTTGCCCCCTCACTCGAAGACCCCCGTGCCAGGGTAAGTTGGTTACAGAATGGGTTAGATGGCCACCAGGTCACCCACTGACCTCAAAAAAACTTCCATGCCACGAGGTACACTGTGAAATGTCCCAAGATCCCCAACCAGGGGCATGTCCATACTCATTTGTCTCTATGAGACCGAAGGCTCAGCTGAAGAACGGGCATCCCCAGGTTCTAAAGAATGGAGTGCGCCACCTGCCAGCACAGCTGCTTACTTTGTGTCTAAGAACTGGGGTAGTACAAGCTAGAACTACGGTGGCCACTGGGAAGCGATTTCACTCCACAGTGAAACTGAAGGCTCTCAGGCCCTTGCCCTCAGAAGGCCGGAACCTAGGAGCTGAGAGGCTGGTGTCCCGTTAAGTGCCTGGCCTACAGAAGAATGGGACTTCTCTCCTGAGCAGCGGACACCTGCCCAGGGTATCTCCCCATCCTCAAGCCAGTGAGCTGGGACTATGGACACTGCTAGACCACTCGCCCCGTTTCTATGAGACCACCTTCTGCAAAGCACAAGACTCCTGTGTAAGGGTAAGGGCTTATGGACAGGCAGGTTTCACACCAGATCACCTGTCACCCCCCCCAAGACAATCCCGTGCAATGAGGGACACCTGGTCTTACACAAGCAAGGGCTGTCTCCCAGGAAAAGGAAATACCCCCTCAAAGGCACACTGTCAGACCTCTCGGGAAAACTCCAAAAATGGGATCCCAGTCTTGTCAAGGCTCTACAGGTGCCCCCCCCCAAACCCCAGGGGTTTTACACTAAAAATAGTTACAGTCTCTCATGCACATGGACCAGCAGTACTGAAGACAACCTAGAATCCCAGCAGTCATTACGAGGAATGTTCCAGTTGGACAAGTTCATTCATTTTGAAGTGCATGTGAATGCAAGGATTCCTAAACAGAATGGGATACCTGTTATAACTGGCATGCAGAAGCCTCCAGAAGGCTTCAGGATTCTGAAACCGCTTCACTGAGATACACTGCAAAAGGGTAATGAAAAGCTCAAGACAGAAGCAGCACCTAAAACAAAAGCCCGTCCAACTGCTGGGACTCCTGCCACTCTCCTCCTTTACACCCAAGTGCTCCTGGTATTCGTCCTGTATCTGGATGGTCTTCCACCCCCAAGAGACCACATGACCACACACATAAAATGTCTGTCAGAGTAGGCTCCCCATGTGGGGCTTGAAGAGTTGCCAGGACTCGGGGGGATTCTCTTGTAACTAACTGCCACCAGTTATTCCTGAAACAGCCAAGGGGAAACTAAACCTGGGACACCTTGGCAAGTTCTGGTAATGCAGGAGTTACACCCGTACTTTAAACCCCACTTGCTCCGGAGCCCACAGATGGGAATCCTGGAAGAACTAGGAAGAATCCTTACCAGAGTCCACTCTCCCAAATCTCTGTAGCCCACTCGAGAGAGGAAGGTAGAATTTGGCGTCCCTTCCCTTCCAGACCCACGGGTTGCTGAACCTTTCTCTCCCAGCGACAGCTTTTGCCCTCCTGTGTCCTGTGAGCTTGGCTTGGCAACCATCACATTGGGGCTCCCAGTATATGGCCAGGCAGAGAAGTGGGTTGAACTCCATGTACGGCTGGGGTCCTGTGCTTATTGCCAGCCCTTGGGAAGTGTCTCAGCCTCTGTTTTTGGTCATCTTTTAGTGGCTCTGGCTCTGGGACAGTGGTGTTCTTTGTACCCTCTCTGAGGACACCTTTTGTGTCCGTGGTGGTGCTCAGTACTAGCCAGGAATATTTACTGTTTGAGCTCAAGCCTGCCAAGAGAGCCGAAAGGAGTTTTGGTAGCTCTGTGGTCAGAAGTTGGCCAGATTGGAAGTACAGAGTCCTCATCAGAGCCTGACAGCAACTTTTGGGGGGGCTTTCTCCCCTAAGCCAAGAGGAAACCATGTGCTCAGAGGGAAAGAAAAACATTTTGCAGCCATCTGCGGAGGGATTTACTAGAACAAGCCAGAGACTAAGCTCTAAAATCTGGAACACAAGAATCTTTTGATTTCCATCCTAACTGAAGATCTTGATAGAAAGCAGCAAACTGAAGATAACGTAGTGGGATGGGTGGGTCAGCCTGTGACGTCACTCGGGTCACAACCCAATTTCTTGAGGAATCAAAAACGGGAGTCCTTGTCTTAGAACAAATCACATCTTTATCAGAACAAATACAGCTCTAGTAGCAAAGTCAAGTCCCA